TCCTCCTGGCTCCCCCTCCTCCTCTTCTTCTTCTTCCTCCTCCTCTTCTTCTTCTTCTTCTTTTTTTTTTAAGCTCATATCTCCCTTGCAGAACCTTATATGCAGCTAGAAACACTCAATGAACACTTTCAGCCTTCTGCCTGGAAAGCTTTGCAGCTGGATCCAGCATTCACTATGCATTTTTTATCTTTTCTGCTGCCACAGACAGCGGTTTTGCCCATCATCTTGCTGCTCCGTAACATGGGGTGCCTTTCCCCTGACTGCTGCACAGTTTCCTCATCGCCTTCCCCACCTCCGCTGACATTTTCCATGCCATTTTCCCAGTTTTTGCTAAAAGCTACCTCACTGCTCTTCATCTGCCATCTAATCCCAAAGCCATTGCTGAATGCTTTAGGTTTTTGTTACAGTGGTGTGCTACTTCTAGGTACCAGTTTCTATATCAGGTAGTTTTTGCTGTGTTGCCCCGGGGCTCCCTAATGGCAAGCCCTTTTGCACAGCGCTTTCCAAGCTGCCACTTATATCATCATATTGGCTAATGTCCCAGTGGCCAAAGCAAATCCGGTGGCCACAGTCAAATTCGAGGAGTTGAGAAATAGTCTACACCTCTTGACTGGAAGAGCTGCACAGAATGTGCAGTGAATTTTTGTTTCAACCTTCCACAAAGAATATGTACAAATTTGGAGAAGCAGAATGAGACACTTGGGAAGTCGGTTCAAGAAAGTAGCATGTGAATGGATGGTTATCACATGGACATAATCTAACAATTTGATGCTTTCATAGTTCAGAGACTGTGCGGTACTAAAATAGTAAAATTAATAGTTATTTATCAGGTTTCCTTATTGAGGTTCCAATATATGCCAGGTTAATGAAAATTCTTTGTATATTGTAGAATCTTTTTGCTATAAATGGAAATGTCTATTCCATAAGAGTTCCCCCCCCCCCCCCCCCCCGTTACTAACAGCCATCTCTTCACCATTATTTGTAGGTTGCTTAAATATAATGAGCTTCTCTTTCCTTATCTTTAAAACTAAGGTGTGGTGTAAGATAGTCACTAAAGTCTTTTTCTGCTTCTCTGATTTTATCTGACATAATTATGGGTTTGATTGAGGAGGGGACACAATAGCTTCCTTTTATCCATCTGATTTCCATACCAATGGACATAGAAGGAAAGAGCACTCAGAGGCCAAAGTGTTACCTTTGTTACCAATAAAGACAAGGTTGGAGGAAGTGGCTTTATGTCCTTGAACCTAGAATTAGAGGGGCTTGCCCTCCCCAGCAGCTGGCCTCTACATTCCCACCCAGGAGCAGAGCAGAGGAGAACACCAGTTCTCAGTGGTAAGCCGATTTTCAAAAGGAAGAAGGAAGGAAAGGCTGGGCTACCATGGGCAGTTTCTCCTTCCAGATTCACCAATTGGATAAGCAACTCTGTGCCTCTTGGCTGGCGGAGGTGGAGAGAAATGTCTACAGGGAAGGAAATGTCAGAGTGATGACAAAATTTCTTCTTAACACTTATACCGCATACCCTCCACCCCTTTTTTTATTGATTTATGTAAATTCAAGTTAGTTAACATACAATGTAATCTTGGCCTCAGGAGTAGAGCCCAGTGATCCATCTCTTACATATGATACCCAGTGCTCATCCTTAATGCCCATCACCCATTTAACCCACCCCTGTATCCACCCTCCCTTGCAGCAACCCTCAGTTTGTTCTCTGTATTTAAGAGTCTCTTATGGTTTGCTTCCCTCTCTGTTTTTATCTTTTTTTCCCCCTTCCCTTCCTTTATTTTCACATAGCTTCGGCATAGGATTGAGTGGACAGAACATGAGCATAGGATCTGGACAGATGTGGGCTTAAATCAGCCTTCTCACTGATGGGATGAGTTGGATAAGGAACTTAACTTTTCTGGGAACCAGTTATTAGTCAACTGAAAATTTTGTTACCTTCCTCACGGAGTTATTGTGAAGATTGTTGATGGATTGTGTATCAGTTGTCTGCTCATATTGGACACTCAGTTTGTCACTGACGTTAGTTTTTCCTTCCTTGCCTTACTTCGTAGTTTTGATTCCAGGGGCTGCTGACCCACGTGTAGCCTACCGTTGCTAAATGCTTGGCTTTTATCTAATTTCTTAACCAAATTTCTGTTACAAACTTTAAAGGGAGTGAGGAATTGCAGTAGCAGTACATATATATATGGAAATATGAGGAAAGGTTTGACATTTTAACCCTGAGACAAGAGAAACATTTGGAAACAAATGAAAGTGTATCACCACAGGGTTCAAAGATGTTAATGATGACAGTCTGCGTCATCAATAATTTATATCCAAGTGTCCTCTCTTCAAGGAATAAAATACATCAATGCACTTTTTAAAATGTTTATTTAATTTTGAGAGAGACAGAGAGCAAGTGGGGTAGAGGCAGAGAGAGAGGGAAACACAGAATCTGAAACTGGCTCTGGGGTCTGAGCAGTCAGCACAGAGCTAGACGAAGGGCTTGAACCCACAGACTGAGGTCATGACCCAGGCTGAAGTCAGTGGACTGAGCCACTCAGGTTCCCCGATCAATACATTTTAGAAGAAGATTTCCAACAAAAAATGAGTGAACACCTTTGACATTTGAAGGGAGAAGCTTCAGGTAAGTAAATGTCACTTACATGGAAAAACCCACATTGATAATGTTGCATAACTGAGGTTTTTCTGCCCTCATGTAAAAACTGTCAGCTAAAAATAGTAATTTGTTTCCTTGAAAAGTTGAAGAGGAGTAAACAGCTAACAGGATTAGAATCAGTGGTTCACAGGACTTTGTCTAAGAGAAAGAGAACATTAAAAAAAAAAACCATATAAAAATTCTGTGAGATTGTCCTTAACTGGCACGATGGGTTGGGAAAGAAAAGGTTATTAATGATTCTTGAAAACTTGATTGATTTCCCTTTTTTTAAAAAAAAACCCATGGAATAGTTATGAACATTAAAATTTAATCAAAATTATATTGGACTCAACATTTTTTCTCCTTGATGTTTTCTTCCTACATAGATTTCTTCTGTCTTTCCTAGCCACAAGTTTGGTCAACATTCCAGGGCCAAAGCCAAATCAGATGTAGGGTACAGCAGCTGCTTTTGTTTGTAAATGCTAATACAGATAAGAGTGGAAAAACTTGTATAGATAGTTTGAACCTTCATCCCGGAGTGCTCTTCTCTTTTCTCTCCCCCTTACCAAACCCATTCATTAACCTTTCCTCTTTTATCACTTTCATGCTCCTTACTGTAAAACTTCTATTTCCAAGTATCTGTGCTTTGTGATTTCAAGCACTTGGGTCAGTCCTAACTACAGTGAATCTGTTAGAAGATAATTATCTACAAATGTTACCTCTGTGGACTTTTGGCAAGTTGTGATGAGTTACTCCTACCTGATAGAGTAACAACAGAGGCTCTAATAGCCAAAACATTGCAATGTTATTGGGGAAACTCTTGATGTAAGGAAATTATTATGAGAAAGAAGGGAATGGTTCTAATGGTGAAAAGATTTTCATGGGTTCATTCAGATCTAGGTTATTAGATGTTGATAATTGTTGCAGATATAAAATCTCAATTGGGGAAGGGGATATGGTCTGAATGCCTGTGTCCTTCAAAATTCTCATGTTGAAATCCTAACCCCCAGTGGGTCTTTGGAAGGAAATTAGGTCATGAAGTTGAGGTCTTCATGAATGGGATTACTGCCCTTATAAAAGAGGCCCCAGAGAGTGTGCTTGGCCCTACTATACTGTGAGGACACAGCAAGAAGACAACCATTTATGAACCATTTATGGACCAGGCAGCAGGCCCCACCAGACACCACCAGGCCCCTTGCTGGCGCCCTGGTCTCAGACTTCCAGCATCCAGAGCTGTGAGAAATAAATTTCTGTTGTTTATAATCCCCCATTTGTGGTATGTGATAACAGTTCAAATGCATGAAGACAGGAAATAGTTCCCTAGAAAATTAAAGACTTCAAAGCATTCATCGGGAGTCTCTGGAAAAAGAAGCTAGTGTAGCTTTGTGGTTTATAGATGGGCTTTCAAGTCACATTTTCTAGATTCAGGCCTCAGCTCCGTGTTTATTAAATTTGTGACTTTAGGCAAATTGCTTAACTCATTAGGCCTCAAGTTTCCTCACCTGTAAAACGGGGATGACGACAGGGCCTCAAAGGGATTGCACGGTGCTTTGTGCTGTGTTGGGCACTCTACAAATACCTGATAAATGTTAGCTATCGAGCACAATGTATGGACTTGAATACAGGAGTAGCTGCTTTGATTTATAGTGCATATCTTTAGAATGCAACTGAAAGCAGATTGCTGTAAGTAAGATCCACCTGTGCACTGGCTGTTTATTGCCCATGCTTCTCAGACTGTCCTCTGCAGACATTGGCCAAAAAGTCTGATTGAGGGAACTGAAAAGTAAAGGTTTCAGGGAGCATCAAATGAGTAGAGTGATTGAAAAGTAGAGACTATCTGCTCTTTTAGGTTAGGTTCTCTCAAAATGCTTTGGAAAAACTCTTGGCTTTGTTTCAGAGAGGAAACAAGATATTTATTATTATTTCTTCTAGCCTCAGAGTTTTATAATTGTGATCCATCTTGACTACCACTCCTCAGACTCTCAAATTGTGCTTTGAGTGAACCCCAAGAAATTAAACAATTAAATGTGTTCTTGCCAGTGCACTTTGGATCTAACCCAATTTTTGTTTTTGTTTTAGAGCAGCAGCAAAAAGATAAGACCTTTTAGGAACTCTTTCTAATTTAGCCTATAATTTTCAGAAGTTGAGAGCATGATTTTTACCTCTTAGATGTGCCATTTTTTCAAATCAAGAAATAGAACAGAATACCAGGTTTTACTCATTTGAGTGAGATTATTTGTGGATCTGAATCAACCTGTTTGGGAAAGTACTCCTGTTGTCAGTTAAGAGTTGTGTTCCTATGGCGTGTCTGGAAAGGTAACTGCTAACTTGCTATGACATAGGACCTATGGGACTTCCTGGCCCCACCAGATGTCTGCCATGCTGACTGGGCAGGAAGGACTGGATGAGGTGGCCAAGAAAGGAGTATTCAGAGCAACCACACAGGGCTGTGCAGACTGTGCCCAGTACCCGGGTGATTCGCCACAAAGATGAGAGAGACTGGAAATCCATCCCAAGCCCAGTTCACCAGAGACTGTGCCCTGGTGTAGGGCGGCATCACCCAGAGAGAGGGCCACTCTTCCAGCATTCACAAGGATGTCATGTGGTCCCTCCACAAAGGCTCATGAAGGCACCTTGTGGACCGGTGGTGAGCCTAGGCCTGAAGACACATCTGATTGGTAATCATCACTTTATGTTTACAAGACTTAAAAAATTGCTCTAAAATCAGGACATTGGAGATATAGATTATACAATCTGAAAATCAGAACATGGCCACTTCATTATTGCAGTAAGGAGTCATTACTCAAAAGTCCTCATTTGGAGCATCTATCTTGGGGCAGGATCTTTTTAATCTCATTAAAAGCTGATAACTTTATACAAAGCCTATGTGTTTATATGCGCCTCTCTCTCTGAATGTGTTTTTTTAGTTTCTACTGAAGCAACAATCCTAAACTTTCTGAACTCAAGTAAAGAAAAATAAAAATGTCTAAAACATTTCTTTGTCATAAATACAGAAAGGAAGTCCCTTCTGCGCTTTTGGATTTGTTCCCCTCCTGAAATCTACCAAGTTGATCTTCATAATAAACCTCACATGATTGGTACACTGCCCTGCATGGAATTGTGTATCCCCATGTTTGAAGTTTCTCACTACTTGTAAAGATACTTCAACGTATAGCTGTGAAACAAGGAAAGGTTTTGTTTTCTGGTAATAGGCAAATTTGCTTAATGTATAATAATTTATAGATTACATAAAGACCTTTAAATTTTTTTTAATGTTTATTTATTTTTGAGAGAGAGAGAGCAAGCAAGCAGGGGAGGGGCAGAGAAAGAGGGAGGCACAGAATCTGAAGCAGGCTCCAGGCTCCAAGCTGTCAGCACAGAGCCCAGTGCAGGGCTCGAATTCACAAACTATGAGATCATGATCTGAACTGAAGTTGGATGCTTAACTCACAGAGCCCCCCAGGCACCCCTATAAAGAGCTTTTATTTATTTATTTTTAATAGTTTATTGTCAAGTTGGTTTCCATATAACATCCAGTGCTCATCCCCACAAATGCCCTCCTTCATGCCACTCACCCCCCTTTCCCTCCTCCCCCCCACACCCATCTGCCTCAGTTTGTTCGCGGCATTCAAGAGTCTCTCATGGTTTGTCTCCCTCCCTCTCCCCCACTATTTTTCCCCTTTTTCTCCCCCATGGTCCTCCGTTAAGTTCCTCCTAATCCTCCTATACGTGCAAACATATGGTATTTGTCCTTCTCTGACTTATTTCGCTCAGCATAACACCCTCGAGTTCCATCCATGTTGCTACACATGGCCAGATTTCATTCTTTCTCATTGCCATGTAGTATTCCGTTGTATAGATAAACCACATCTTCTTGATCCATTCGTCAGTTGATGGACACTTAGGCTCTTTCCATGTTTTGGCTATTGTTGAGAGTGCTGTTGTGAACATCGGGGTACATGTGCCCCTATGCATCAGCACTCCTGTATCCCTATAAAGACATTTTAAATTGATTCCCTCTTTAAAGGTCTTATCTCCAAATACAGTTGCATTCTGAGGTGCAGGAGTCAAGGCTTCAATATATGAATTTGAGTGGGTTATACAATTTAGCCTATAACCATGTATGATGGTTTTGTTCTTGTTCTTGTTCCCCTTAGAATAAGTAGGCATAAAGTTTTTCTTTTACGATTAGAAATATGACCATGTGTTGTGTTTACAACTGGTTTCCTTACAAGCAAGTAGGAACTTCCATAGTTGTTCTTTGTAGCATCCAGTATATGGACTGTGTATGTATTATAACCCTCACTTGTTGACCTTCTAAGGTATGCACAGACCTGCCTTCTGAATTTTTCATTTCCCATCTTTCAGAATCTTTCCCTATCAAGTTTGTTCATCAAGATTGCCCCCAACCTGCTATTGTAAGTTGTCCAGAACTACATTATGCTTACGAATAAAAAACTGCCATGATAATTATCTACGGAATGGGTCACAAGTGTGGGTGTGCACTGGAATCACCTGGAGATTATCCTAGATGTACTGAGTCAGAAACTCTAGGGGTCCAGGCATCTGTAATGTTTGCGGTTCTCCAGAAAATTCTCTTGCTTCCTAAAGTCTGAGAACTATTGAGCTACTATCATTTCTCTCTTCCTATATATTTTTGTACATAAATTCTGTTTAACTGCCTGATAAAAGAAGGCTTAGGAAACTTCCCCTTCCCCTTGCTTCTCTGTGGGATCTTCTTCTCCAGACAGATGATATGCATGCCTGAGAAGAAAATTAGAAGACAGAGCAGATTTCTGGTTGTTGTTCATAAAATTTCTTTTGAATTCTTCATCTCTGTGTGAATCAAAGCACATTTTAGCATTGTTTTAGCAACTTTATGAATACAGTTTACTAACATTTGTTACATTATTCTTTTTCACAGTGAGATAGGACAGTCAATAGAATTGTTTGATTTTTTTCTTCTTGTTTTCCATAGTTTCCTTTTTAGGGTTTCACAGTACAGAATCAAGCCACTGGATATGTAGGTTAGTTTCATGTTCCTTCTGTGCCCGCTCCTATATTTTGGGATAACTATAGCAAGAAATCCTTTTTGACCTTTTGGAGGACATTCTTAGAAATAGCTTCTTGGTTGATATTTTTCTCTCTTTTCCTTTTTTTAACTTCTTTCTTCTTTTTAATTTTTCCAAGTTTTTATTTAAATTAGAGTCAGTTAACATACTGACTCAGTGTAATATTAGTTTCAGGTGTAGAATTTAGTGGTTCATCACTTATGTTTACCACCCAGTGCTCATCACAACAAGTGCCCTCCTTAATACTCATCACCCATTATACCCATCCCCCTGCCCACCTTCCGTTTGTCTGTCGTTAAGAATCTGTTTCCTGGTTTGCCTCTTTCTTCCCCCCACCCCCATGTTCATCTATTTTGTTTCTTAAATTTCACATGTGAGTAAAATAACATGATATTTGTTTTTCTCTGATTTGTTTTGCTTAGCATAATGCTCTCTAGCTCCATTCACGTTTGCAAATGGCAAGATTTCATTCTTTTTGAAGGCTGAGTAATACTCCATTATGTATATAGGCCACATTTTCTGTATCTACTCATCAGTCAATGGATACTTGGGCTCTTGCCATGATTTGGCTAATGTTGATAGTGCTGCTATAAACATTGGGGTACATGTATCCCTTCAAATCAGTGTTTTTGCATTCTTTGGGTAAATACCTAGTAGTGCAATTGCTGGATCAGAGGGCAGTTCTATTTTTAACTTTTTTTCAGGAACATCCATACTGTTTTCCAAAGTGACTGCACCAGTTTGCATTCCCACCAACAGTGTAAGAGAGTTCCCCTTTCTCTGCATGCCCGCCAATACCTGTTGTATTGTTACTTTTGGCCATTCTGACTAATGTGAGGTGATATCTCATTGTAGTTTTGATTTATATTTCCTTACTGATGAGTGATTAGTATCTTTCCATGTGTCTATTAACCATCTGTATGTCTTCTTTGGAAAAATGTTTATTCATATCTTCTGCCCATTTTAAACTGGATTATTTTTGGGGGGGGGGTCTTCAGTTTTCAGTTCTTTGGGTATTTTGGATACTAACCCTTTATCAGGGTTATTATTTCCAAATATCTTCTCTCCTTCTGAGGGTTGCCTTCTAGTTTTGTTGTTTCTTTCCTTTGCTGTGCAGAAGACTTTTATTTTTATGAAATCCCAATAGTTTATCGTTGCTTTTGTTTCCCCTGCCTCAGGGGACATATCTGGTAAGAGGTTGCTATGGGCGATGTCAAAGAGGTTTCTGCCTGTGTTCTCTGATACGATTTTGATGGTTTCTTGGTTTTGGTTGACTTTCTATTGTCGTTTGCCTAATGCTTGCTCCCTGGCAGAAGACCTCTGGGTCAGTGGGACCAACTCATCTGGGGTGAGTTGGGCCAGGCCAGGTGGGCAGGAAGGCAAGGTAAAGACCACCTTCTTGTCTATACCCCCATAGAGAATCATTAAGTCCCCACACTGTTCCTTCCTGTCTCCTTACTTGATTATGAACCTCAGTGTTCAGATGAACTTAGGCCTTCACTTGATTTAGGATTCATGCCTTTATGGTTTTCAGGTCTTGACAAGGAATGACTGTCTCTGAACATCTTCCTCTAAGGCCTTTTTCTGTATGATCGAAGTGTATTTTTCTCCTTATATTATGAATGAGATGATTCCCCCACCCCCCACCCCCAGTAGCTTTTTCATGGCTTTAGTTTAGTAATACAGAGCAGAGGAACTGTCTAGGACTAGTGGGAAACCAACAGACAGATTCCTGATGTTGTGGTGTGTGGCACTTTACCTTAACCACCCAATTACCTTGTACTGTAGTGCCACCCCATGCTTGGCAAGAAAGCGAGAATGACACCTATTATTACCTTGTTCATCAAAATTCATCTATTCTCTGTACCATCTACCTGTTGCACAGTAGACTATATTGGATACTAACTTAAACAGATAGATACAGCTCAACTCCATACTAGCTATCCAAAGCACTTTTCCCAGGTCACATCAGGTGTTAACCGATTACAATGCATAGGTCTTAAAGAAGGACCTGAAGGAATTAGTCCTTTAAGCAAATAATATTTATAGTTTCGTGGGATTTTATTTAATTATAAAATCTATGTGGGCATCATAAAAATTTTTGAAAATACAGAAAAGCATAAGGGAGTAATTAAAATCTTTTATAATTTCACAATTCAAAGAAAACAACTATTAACATTTTGATGTGTATTATTCAAGTCTTTGTTTCAGGATGTGTGTGTGCTATAGCACATATGCTCTTCCCTTTACCTCCCTTGTCTACCTGAGATGGGATTTACACTTCCATACCACTAGACAGCCTTCTGAACTGCCATTGTTAAGCAGCCAATCTCTCATTTTTACACATTTAAAATATTTCTGAATTTCTGTAAAAACAGCATGGTGATGGAAGTACTTGCAGCAATGAGCTTCACATATAGCCTTAGAATAAATGTACATGTGACAAAACAAATACACATTTTAAAAGCTTTTGATACATAATCGCTAACCTCCCCCCCAGAAAGATTCCATCAATTTGCTCTCCGCCAGCATTTTTCAGAGTTCCCAGAATCCTCACCAGTTTTTAAGCATCTTTATTTTTATTTTCTTTAATCTTGCCAACTTGGTGGGGGAAAAAATCTCAGTGGTTTAATTTGCATTTCCTTGTTTAATAGTGAAGTCCTTCCTGATTCACTTTTATATATTTCCTGAAGAAGTTTAGTGTAGTGGTTAAGTGGGGCTCCCGTGGGGCCCAATTGTTCACTTCCTGGCACCTATGGGTAGGTTTCTTAATCTCCCTACACTCATTTACCACCTCTGATAATGACAGCACTTACTTCATGGGAGCTGTTTGAAGACTGAAGAGAGGATCATGTGACAAGTGCCTAGAAAACTTGTCTAACAGTGAGCACCTGGTACATATCAGCCTCTCTTTCGTTCTTTAGCATTTCTATGTCTTCATGTATGAGTTGCCTTTTCATTTTCTTTGTCTGGGCAAGTGGTTTTGTTTTTTTTGGTTATGGCAGAAGGTTTTAATATATTAAGTATGTTAACCCACTACCTGCCATATGTTGCAATTTCCCCTAGTTTGTGGTTTGTCTTCCAATTTTGTTCAAAGTGAGGAAATATTTGGATATTAGGAAATTCAAGCAAGTGGATGGCATAGTCTTGGTTCAGCCTGGGTCTTTTTTCTGCCTCTCAGTCCTGCCTCTGGAAGAGTCACTTCCCTATCATTGGGAAGATCCAGTATTGACTTCTGTCACCAGATAGCAGAAATGGCATTTTAAACAGGATAACATGTTGTATTAAAAATCATCATCTTGGAATAAAACTTCTGCTTAATTTGTGTAAATAATGCTCATGGCAGATGAGAGGCTACAATTACTGTTTCACCCTTTTCCCATTTATCACTAAATCCAACTTGTCAGGATTCCATGGTGAAATAAAATTCATTACTTCAACTTGAGAGAAGGTTTTAATTTGAGATCAAGATGCTCTATAGATGGAGTATACATTACATGCTACTATATTTTCCTTCGTTTCTGCAGATTATACAGTAGAGAGAAAAACTCTCTAGCCACAAAATCTTGTGCATGAGAGGAAAATGTTCATTATTGTGGCATATATACATGCAACTAAAAAGTAAATTTTTTACTTCCTGGAAAAAATATGGACATAGAGAACATTATTTTACCTTGCTAAATAGAAAAATAATCAGAACCACTCTATGAAAACATGGAAATTCTGCTTGACCTGCTGACTTGTTTCAAAAAGTGGCAAATATCACTACTATGTGACGGTCAAATTGAGGTGTGTTGTTATATTATTGTTACTAGGGTTCTGTATGATTGAGATTTTCCATATAAAAAAATTTAAAGTAGTTGCATTAATGATGCTTACCACTAAGGACCTTGGGAAAAACTGAATTTCTTTCATTTCCTACTCTTCATCTGGTGATGCTATGTGATTGCTGTCTAGATGTCTATCTTCTTTCTACTCACCTCTCCTACTTGTTAAAATCACATTAAACATTTAACTACTTCCTATCTCTTTCACTTTTAATATTTTCCATCAGAATATATTCTCAGATTTTTTTTCTCCCAGTCACTCAAACTGAAGTATATATCAGTGATAATGAATAGAGGAGCAAGGAAATGTCAACTTCCAAATTCTGTACTTCCTTATTAGATTTTTGTCTTTATTTTGTTGTTGTACTCAAGCATGTTTTAGTTTTATAACATTTTTAAGAGAAAAAAGTTTAAATCATAATTTATATGGTACCTATTTTTAAGAATTGTTATGATGTATGGGGTTGGGGATACTCACTGGTGCTGAAATAGACCCAACCGCCCCCCCCCCACAACAAAAAACCAAAACCAAACAAACAAAACAAAAGGCCCCACAGTCTTGTAACTAACATTGATTGTCCTTATTTAAATTTTTTTATCCTTCCATATCTTGTCTTCTTATTTTTCCTTGTTCTCTGTATGTTTTGATTTGCGATCACTGGAAAACATAAAGCAAGAAAAAGTGATTGGTTCTCAATGCAACCTAAAATTGTAAATTGCTGATTGAGTTCTGGGCACTAGTAATAATGAACTGCACATGCTTTATGGGCTATAAAGTACGACTGTGTTCATGCCTTCTGCCATATTAGTCTTTTACTTGTAAGCAGAATGTCAGAGAATATTTAGCTCCTTTAGTGTGTTTGTTACCTACACCCAGGAATAAAGAATTGGAAATGCTGTGCAGAACGTTTCTTTATTTTAAGCTTTGGTTCTCTCAATGCAAATATTGGACTCTGCTGGAGGAATTTAACCCCCATTTCTACTTGCAGGCAAAATGAAGGACCGGCTGGCCGAATTTCTGGAGGCAACCAAGAACTATGACCAGCAGTTCCCAGACGGGGACAATGAATATGACCCGCCCCATGAGGACATCATGTTCGAGACGGACCACATCCTGGAGTCCCTGTACCGAGACATCCAGGACCTTCAGGATGAAAACCAGCAGCTGATGACCGACGTGAAGCGGCTGGGGAAGCAGAACGCCCGCTTCCTCACGTCCATGCGGCGCCTCAGCAGCATCAAGCGGGACACCAACTCGATCGCCAAGGACATCAAGGCCCGGGGCGAGAACATCCACCGCAAGCTGTGCGCCATGAAGGCCCTGAGCGAGAAGGCCGAGGCCCAGCACGGCGCGCACTCGGCGGTGGCGCGCATCGCGCGCGCGCACTACAGCGCGCTCACGCGCACCTTCCAGCGCGCCATGTACGAGTACAACCAGGCGGAGATGATGCAGCGCGACAACTGCAAGATCCGCATCCAGCGCCAGCTGGAGATCATGGGCAAGGACGTCTCCGGCGACCAGATCGAGGACATGTTCGAGCAGGGCAAGTGGGACGTGTTCTCCGAGAACTTGCTGGCCGACGTGAAAGGCGCGCGGGCGGCGCTCAACGAGATTGAGAGTCGCCACCGCGAGCTGCTGCGGCTGGAGAGCCGCATCCGCGACGTGCATGAGCTCTTCTTGCAGATGGCGGTGCTGGTGGAGGAGCAGGCCGACACCCTGAACGTCATCGAGCTCAACGTGCTGAAGACCCTCGACTACACCGGCCAGGCCAAGGTGCAGGTGGGCAAGGCCGTGCAATACACGAGGAAAAACCCCTGCAGGACCCTCTGCTGCCCCTGCCTCAACTAGCAGCTTGGCCGCGGCCACCACCCCACACCCCTGACGGAAATGGCTGGGAAGCACACTGCGGAAGATGTGGGGGCCCTGTGCACCGGGGTGAGTTGCCCCCATCCCTATGGACTTCTGTCCTCAGAGAAAGAAACATCTTGAGGTGCGAGAATTCCAACCCAGCTTGTGTTTGGGAGGATGGCTGATGTCATCCAGTGTTACCTGAGCAAGGCAGATCCCTGCTGAAGTGGGTGAGGTCGTTGTATGGCACATGGCACCCTTTTCCTCTTAACGGAAGCCAAATAAGGAACTGACGTTGCAGCTTAACTGTAGGCTAAATGTCCAAGGCGTGCTTTCTGACGAAACTCTAGAAGGAGGTCGGTTCTGCGTCGGCTGATGATGGCATGAACTTACCTTATCCTGAAAGCCGCTTCGTTCTGTTCAGTTTCACAGGACATCGATGGGCAAAACTGTACGTCTTTCATTTTGATTCTTCCTCTGGCTTATCCTGTGTGATTCCTGCCTAGCTGTATATCTTCTTTCTGTCCACCTTCCCCACTTATTAGAATCATATTTAACACTCATGATTCCCTTATCTTTTTCACTTTTAATATCTCCCATCAGGATATATTTTGGATTTTTTCCAAATACGATTAAGCACTGAGTTTTGAACAAGCACTCGAATGGAAGTATGTATCACTCACATTTTATATATTTTTCATAAATAATTTAAAACTTATCTTTTTACTTGATAATACAAATACACATAAGTATATAAATGTACAGGACTAATATTAATGCATGTACATAATGACCAGTTGGTTTAACTTGACTTTTGTAAATATGGTCTATAAATATCAAGAGCAACACTTTTACTGGTCGTTGGTACTGGTTTGCTTGTTTTCACTTTTCCTGAATCCCATCTCTAGAGTATAGTTTCAGTCACAATTTTCTTTTGAACCCCTCTGTGTTGGTTATGGTGGTAGAGACAGGCATCAAAGGCTAAAATGCATGCAGAACTACAGATGATAAAAGAACATTTTAGAAATATTACTTTTGTTTTACTGTGACCATTCCTTTTGTGTACTGAAATGGAGTAATTTTTAAAAAATAAAATAATAATTTTTTTCAATTTAGTTTAATAAACATTGCATTATAATGTCCTCTCTGTGTATTTGTATCTTGACCATTTAAATCTTAGTTTACTTTTTCAATCATTATGCTTAAGAATTCTTCTACGAGCTTCATGAGGCTGCAACAGCTGGATGGAACTCTGAATTGAAGGGGATAAAATGAAAAATAATTCACTGTGGATGTCTAGCTTTCTCCCCTGAGTTACGTACAATAATTTTAGCAAATCGTCATGTTCTAGAAATTTGGCTTTGTTGGCAAACTTTGTAATGTCCTTACCCACATTTACCATATTTCCTGTCTTTCTTCGGAGTCAACTCTTAATTGTTTTTACTTCATTATTTAATACAAGGTTAAGTTTACTCAGTAGCCAAAACTCTCAGGTCCCGCAGACATTGAAATGTTTAAAAGAATAGAAAGAAGAGCGTGTGAACTCTTTGCAACTTGCTGACTAACCTGCAGGAGGCCATGAAAATCTAGCCCTGCACCTAATTTTAATTTCATGGTTAAATATGAGAATTGTGGAAACCAAACTCCACTGGGCTCCTCTCAGATTTCTCCAGATTTCTTTCTCAGTTCACCCCAGGGATATGTTTCACCTTCAACTGAATTCCCTTTTCCTAAGGGGAAAAAAAAAAGTCTTCACACAGCTCCATTGCTGTGTCTTTCATTGTAGAGAAGCGATATTATGAATACAAGCCACCAGCTAGTTTTCCCAAAACAGAATCGTTCATGAATTTGACTTGTTTAAACCCATAAAGCATTTTCTTTGCCTAGAACCAGTCATAACAGTAAACGAGTTTGCAGACTCTGAGTACTTTTTAATTCCCCACGTTTCACACTGGAAAATTAGGTAAAAAGTACAGTTTCATATACAACTATACCTTGTTGCCTATGACAAGGTAAGAATTTTCTTCCTGCTTTTTAGGAACTCTGAGTGTCACATAGTAGTTAAGAGCACTGATTCATGACCCCAGTCACTCAGTTTAAATCCTGACCCTGCCACATACTAGCTGTAAGACTTGGGCACATTACTTACCCTCCTCGAGCTTGTTTCCTCATCTGTACAATGGACATCATAGGACCTACTTTATACAGTTGTCATATGAAGTAAATGTTAATTACTATTACGTTAATTATTGTTATTGCATGATTTTCTGGTAGACTAAGAGAGGTGATTACGGACTTTGTAAATTAATAGTTACTCATTTCTGAGGGAAAATAAATTTTCATTTTTCTGTTGACAGTCTTTAACAAAATGGAACAAAGAAACCAAAGGCTATTTTTTTTGAAATATTAGAGCTTTTTTCCCAACAAAGACACCGTTTTCACAATGGCATTTCTATTCCTTCTCATATCCAAACACGTTCTGAAAAAGCAGTAGATGAAACAGTTAAGTGGGAAGCAGCTGATCTGCTCAGTTTGGCAAGTGCTTTCCTCCCTGATATTACCAAGCTGTGAGTCAGAAAGCCCGAGAAAGTGTTTGGTGGTGGAGACCAGGTCACAACAGACTAAAGGGAAGGGATTAGTTGGCTCTCCCCACATCCTGCCCTGTTTCCCTGCAGCCCTTCCTGGCTCTCTGTCTGCCATGCCCAACAACGTGGGAAATGCTGGCCTTTTCCCTTGGAAAGGGTGCTCCAGCGCCCCCAACAGGTGCTACAGAGTTCACTTTGCCCAATCCCGTGATGCTCTCCTGGTGAACCCTGAAAGCTGACCTTGGGCAAGAAGAAAACTTTGTAGCACAGCTGCTAATTTCATCCACTCACATCATTTAATGTATAGAATGAAAGAACCAATCACAACAACAGATCCTTCAGGGGCTGAAGGTGGAAATCTATTTCTAAAGCTATTTTAACATATGCAGTGACTCCTCCTTACCAGCCAAATTCCAAACCTACAGGTCATGGCCACAGATTATAGGTGGTGATGACTCCAGAAATATCAGAAATAGGAGCGGTGCTCACTAGAATGCAGCAGTATCCAGCATAACAGAAGTTTGAATTTTTTAAAGGCTGATCAATAATTCAAAAGTGTTTGCCCTATGACATCACGGGAGTAAATTTATGGCCTTTCAAGGTAATGGCCTGGAAAAAAAACCTCTGTTCTTCTTGTACCAGTGCTTCATATTTATTTAAAGTCCCAGTGCTTTATAATTGAATGTCACATGCACATATTTTTCTAGTTTTACAATGTAAAGTTCCTATCTTGACAGGAAACTCCTGAAGATTGTGTGTAGCTTAAAAATAATAATAAAATAGGGGTAGTGTAGTCTTGGATTTTATGTATAAATCTCACCATTCTATTTTCCGCCATAAGATATATTTCTGTGCTTTTCTCTGAAATATGCAAGGTGCCTCTAAGGGCAGCATGCAGGCCATTCATTTGTCGTCAGGATGATGGTTTGAAACATCCAGTTGCAATGAAAGTAACAGTCGACTTGTTTTTGATAGCAAGAATTAAAAACCTTGCAGTTAATACAAAGGGGCTATTAGAAATGGAAAGTGAATAGGATCCGGAATGCAACCTCACCGTCATCTAACTATTGAACATTTTTATTGTCAACATGTGTTATAAAGGATGGATGTTATGTCCTAGAAGCTTTCTGTCTAAAGATTATCTATATACTGGTGAGAAACCGCTTTCTGACCTGATGATCTGGGTGAGACTACATAGGATGCTTTAAAATCAATGACATCTTGAAAAGTGAGGAGTAGAAAGCAGCTCCCCAACACTATCATTCTTGCTATTATTCTGAAAGTATTTTTATACCCCATTTTAATTAAAAGCATCTTTAAGCCACTTCTTGGACATCTTCCACTTTTCCTAATCTGTGTCTCTACATTTTCAAGGTCTTACAACCAACTCTTTAGACATATCCTTTCTTCTATATCCAAGCATCCCATAGTATTTTACAGTGGATACAAATAACGAGCATGAAAATTATAGATATAGATATAGATATATTCTTATCTCTCTGTTTTCAGATGGGCCCAGTCCTTTGCCTGTGCTTAGTTTCGCTATCCCAAACAGGAAAGCACTAAGAGCCATTTAACAGGAACACACATGTAATGTACATGTTACTAAATTTCTGTGTCAGGGGCGCCTGGGTGGCTTAGTCGGTTGGGCGTCCGACTTTCGCTTGGGTCATGATCCCGTGGTTTGTGGGTTTGAGCCCCGCGTCGGGCTCTGTGCTGACTGCCAGCTCAGAGCCTGGAGCCTTTCAGTCTGTGACTCCCTCTCTCTCTGACCCTCCCCTGCTCATGCTGTCTCTCTCTCTCCTAGAAATAAATAAAACATTAAAAAAAAAAATTTAAATTTCTGTGTCAGGATCTTTACACTCCTCCATCAGTGTGGTTTCCAGTTATGTTCCCTTTTCCTGATATCACCTACAGAGCCTGTATTCACACTAGGGAATGCATTCTCAGCCACTACAAATGTATTATGGAAGGAGGCACGAAAGAAGGACTGCGTATCTACAACTACCACACAGCTCACTGGCTGAGGCTGAGCAGCGCCTGTTTTCTAAGCGTTCTTGGAGACAGATGGTGCCTCATATCTGTTCCACACTCAATCCCCCGCTGTTTCCTTGTTTTGTTCACTGTGTGTGGGTTTTACACCTTGCCTAACTCTTCACTATTCATGCATTCCTATATGATTGTCTAGTTTCTGTTCAGCGGCTTCCTCTGACTTCATCTACAAGTTTTCCTGGCTGTCTTTTTCACCCTGACCTTCAACTTATGTACACTTCTGGCACTAGTCTGAATCCAGCCACACTGTGCTCAAAAGTGGTCCTATCCCATAACAGATAGACATATCTGTCAGTATAACACCTTTCAGTTTACATGATGCCTTGATCTCATTTTTTTTCATGATAATCCTGTGAAGTAATATTACCATTTCATTTTTTCTAAGAGGTGGGGACTAAGAATGCAGTCATCTAATATTTGACAAAGTTATGTATTTGCAAGTGTCTCTTACTCTCATATTATTAAGCTTCTTGTGCATCTTCACTTCGATGTCAATCTAGAAGTATAAGTTGCATGATGAGATTATGCATTTTCCTTGACGGATCTCTGTAACATTAGTAAAATAACCTCTTCCCTTGGACTTCTGGCTCTGCAATTTTTCCTTATAACTTTGGCTTTCCCTTCTTAGTCTCCTTCACAGGCGTCTCTCCCTCTTTCCAGCTCTCATTGTTGAGTCTGCATCCGAGGCCAACCTCCCTGAGCTATTTCTTTCACTCTGAGGGTCTCAAATACCACCTTTCTAAGCACTAGTGGCTTACAGATCTGTATCTCCAGCCCTGACTTTTCAGCAGAAGCTTGAGTCTCTACATCCAACCGCCTAGCAAACATCAGCAGTTAGATGTCCGACCAGAGCTTCTAATGCTACGTACCCTACCATCTTCTCCGCTCCCTGACTCCACCTCCTCCTGTTCACCCTATCGTGCAGGTGATACCACGCATGCTTTCTACCCCATTGCCCAAGCCAGCACCCATGCCGCAGCAGCCTGGCTCTTCCCCACGTTGGCTCCCCTGCAAGTCACACACTTCACTTATGCACACCGCCACTTGCCCAGGCCAGGCAACCGTCCCCTCCTGCCTCAGTTACTTCAGCAGCTTCTAACTGGTCAGTGGCTTCTAGTCTTGCCTTCCAAATCCAATCACTACACTACAGCCATAGTGCTTTCTCTCTCTCTCTCTCTCTCTCTCTTTGTGATTACTGTGTTGGGATTTTTTTTAATTGCGGCAAAATATCCATAACCTAAAATTTATCACTGTAACCATTTTAAAGTATATAGTTTCAGCAGTGGGAAGTACACTTAGGTTGTTGCGCATCTAATCTCCAGAACTCTTCTCATCTTGCAAAACTGAAACTCTGTACCCGTGGGACAACATCTCCCCATTCCCCCTTTCCCTCAGCTCCTGGCAACCACCATTCTACTCTCTGTTTCTATGAGTTTGCTTACTCTGCGCACCTCATGTAGGTGTAATCATACCATATTTGTCTTTTTTGTGAGTAGATCATTTCT